ATCTGGTAAGTGAATGAAAAAATGAGCTACACAATAGGAGAAAATATTTGCAAACCATACATTGAACAAAGGACTAGTATCTAGAATATATAAAGAACTCTCAAAACTCAACAACAACAAAAAAAACACGTTAAAAATCCAATTAGGAAACAGGCAAAAGACTTAAGGTGATATTTCACCAAGGAGGATATAAAAATGGCAAATTAGCACATGAAAAGTTGTTCAACATCATTAGCCATTAGGGAAATGCAAATTAAAACCACAATGAAATATCACTCCACATCTATCAGGATGACTAAAATAAAAGTAGTGACAATGGGTCAGGCACGGTGGCACACACCTGTAATCCCAGCACTTTGGGAGGCCAAGGTGAGTGGATCACCTGAGTTCAGGAGTTTGAGACCAGCCTGGCCAACATGAAGAAACCCTGTCTCTACTAAAAATACAAAAGTAGCTGGGCATGGTGGCACATGCCTGTAGTCTCAGCTACTCGGGAGGCTGAGGCAGGAGAATCACTTGAACCCGGGAGGTGGAGGTTGCAGTGAGCAGAGATCGTGCCATTGTACTCTAGCCTAGGCAACAAGAGTGAAACTCCATCTCAAAAAAAAAAAAAGCGACAATGCTAAATGCTGGCAAGGAAGAGGAGATAGTGGATCACTCATAATTTCTGGTGGGAATATAAAATGGTACAACCACTCTGGAAGATGATTTGGTAGCTTCTTAAAAACAAAACAAAACCAACAACAACAACAACAAATCCAAGAACTAAGCATACTACTACCATCCTGCCCAGCAACTGCATTCCTGGGTATTTAGCCCCAAGAAATGAAAACTTGCACACACAAATACACACGCACACATGATGCCTTCACACAAAACCTTATATGCAAATGTTTGTCTAACTGCTTACTCATTATAGCCAAAGATAACCCAGATATCCTTTAACAGGTAAATGGTTAAACCAACTATTGTACACTTATGCCATGAAATAATACTCAGCAATAAAAAAGAATGACTGATACACACAACAACCTGCATGAATCTCCAGAGAGTTATACTGAGTGAAAAATGCCAATCCCAAAATGTTACCTACTACATACTGTGATCATGTCACTTCACTCCAGCCTGAGCAATATAGCAAGACCCCATCTCTAAAAACAGATAAACAAACAAAAAAGATGGATTACAGAGTAAATGTAAAGTGTAAAACTATTAAAATTTTAGAAAAATAGGAGAAAATCTTTGAGATGTAGGGCCAGGCAAAGAATTCATAGGCTTGACATCAAAAGCACAATCCAGGCTGGGCATGGTGGCTCACGCCTGTAATCCCAGCACTTTGGGAGGCCGAGGCAGGCGGATCACTTGAGGTCAGGAGTTCAAGACCAGCCTGGCCAACATGGTGAAGCCCGTCTCTACTAAAAATACAAAAATTAGCTGAGCAAGATGGCACATGCTTGTAATCCCAGCTACTTGGAAGGCTGAGGCATGAAAATCACTTGAACCTAGGAGGCGGAGGTTGCAATGAGCTGAGATCATGCCAGTGGACTCCAGCCTGGGTGACAGAGTGAGACTCTGTCTCAAAAAATAAATAAATAAATAAATAAAATAAACTTTATTGAAAAGCAAAAAAAAGCACAATCCCTTTGTATAACATTTTGTATTAACAAGCTTGAAATCACAAAAGTACAGAAATAGAGAAAAAAAATCATGGTTGCCAGTGGTTAAGGAAGTGATGGGGGTGGGAATGAGGTGAACTGACCATAAAAGGGCAAGATAAGGGATACTTGGAGTGACAAAAATAGTCTTGACTGTAATAATCGACATTGATACAAATGTCAGTATCCTGATTGCAATACTGTACTGAAGTGTTATAAGATGTTACCATTGGGGAAACTGGATTAAAGGGTAAAAGGTTCTGTCTGTATTATTTCTTACAACTGCATGTCACTCTCTAATTATCTCAAAATAAAAAAGTTAAATTTAAAAAACATGTATGAGGATGTGCATAGTTTTTCAAAATATATTTAACAAGTTCATGAGTGGAAAGTTTGAGTGAATAAAAATTGTATCTGGAATTCTGGTTTGCAAATTACCCTGGGAAATGTGGCCTGACTCAGTGTGACTCAGTTCTATACCATTGTTCTCAGCTCTGCTGTTGCTCACTGCTAATGTTGAAGCCAGGTAGCTCTTGAGTTGCAGGGCAACCAAGATCCCATGATCCAATGTTGCTCTCACTCCCCTTGGCCTTTGAGAGAGAACAGGAAAGAAGATGGAGAAGAATTTTCCCTTTGCCCCATTTTCCTCTTTTTGGGCTGAACCGTGTCCCCCTATGAATTCATAATGTTGAATAAACCCAGTACCTCAGAATGTGAATTTTTTTGGAGTTAGAGTCTTTAAAAAGATAATTAAGTTAAAATGAGGTTATGAAAGTAGGTCCTAATATAGCTAGTATCCATATAAAGAAGAGATGAGGACATACATACACAGGGGACAGTCCATATGAAGATGCAGGGAAAAGACAGCCATCTGCCAGCCAAGGATAGAGACCTCAGAAGAAACCAACCCTGCTGACACCTTGATCTCACATTTCTAGCCCCCAGAGCCATGAGGCAACAAGTTTATGTTGTTTAAGCCATTCAGTCTGTGGTATTTCTTATGGTAGCCCTAGCAAACTAATACATCCTCCTATATTTGGACATAGGCCTGTCATTCTTGATTAAAGGAACGTAAAAATAAGACGTCAAACTTTTAACAAGACTTTATGAAGACTTGGGCAAAATTGGAAAAAAAAGAAAATAGAAAATTCTTCCATTCTGATCACAGATATTATAGATGTAAGACATCACAGGCTCCAGCCCATCTAAGGGTTCTCCAACTAGAAACAGACCTGGTGTGGCTGATGCTACTAATACCTGCCATGTTCCTTGGGCCTTACCACTGTAGTGCACACTGGCTGGACATTTGCATCATTCCTGAAGGCTTCCTCAAAGCCAAGAAGGGCCACTCTGCCCGACTCACAGCAGACTAGAAGGGCTGAAGAGTTCACATGTCAGGCAGCAGCCTTCAGCCAATGGGAATTGATGTACAATTGCCCAACTCCCTCCTTACGTGGCTGGGTTAACTCTGAAGCATGTGCTTTCCCAGAATTTCCCCAGGGGATTAAGTTCCAGTCATTCATCCTTCGTTGGCTGCTTTCCCTTCCCAATCTATCTTTCACTCAACTGATACTGAAGTTTCATGCACCTCCAAAATAAATTACTTTCACTCATGTCCTTGTATCAGGGACTGCTTCTGGAAGAAACCAAACTAAGGCACCCCAGGCTAGCTTCTAATTTGCTTCACAGCAGTAAAGGTCAACTTTTCTTTGCATTAACCAAGAGAAAACTTAGCCATGACCTCATCGTGATGCTTGGATCCCCAGAACCCTGTCTCTCATGAAACCCTGATTCCTTCCTTTCCTTGTCAAGATCTCTCCTTACCCAGCCTGGATGACAGTCCATTCTATTGAGTACTTAGCAAACAGAGTTTAGAAACTGTCAGAAACATTTGTATTTTGTTCAAAATTGTAATATTCCGTAGACCAGAAACAGCACACTCTTTGATCCCACCCTTGTATGCCCAAAATATCTGAGTTGGAGGAGGCACTGACCCTCTGTCACACAGTTTAACTAGATTACAGAGTGCAAGACCCCCAAACCAGTTCCTGACACTCATTCCTCTCTTCAGCCTGTGGATTCTTATCACTTCCACAGCAAGAAAATTGGCTCTAAGATTATCCAGAGTTCTTTCCAAATCTATTATTTATGGAACAAGTGCTGACTTCAGATATCTTGTAATCTAAGATTTTTCATCTCCAAAGACCTTTCTTTCATTTTGCCTCTACTGGGTTTTCTATTTTATTTATTTTTTTGAGACGGGGTCTCATTCTGTCACCCAGGCTGGAGTACAGTGACCCGAACACGACTCGCTGTATCCCCAACCTCCCGTGCCCAAGTCATCCTCCTGCCCCAGCCTCCTGAGTAGCTGAAACCACAAGTGAGTGCCACCATGCCCAGCTAATTTTTTTTTTTTTTTTAAGAGACTGAGTCTCATCATGTTGTCCAGGCTGGTCTTGAACTCCTGGGCTCAAGCAGTCTTCCTGCCTTAGCCTCCTAAATGGTTAAAGGCATGTGACCATCACACCTGCCTTACCATGGTTTTCAAATGTAAATTTTTAAATGAAAAATCTTAATCTTTTGGTCATTGCTGTTTTCCTGTGATCTGTCTCCCACTGCATGAGGGGAAATGTGTTATCTGCCTTTATTGTAGAAAGACGCAGTTGTAGAAATCTTCAGTTGATGTCTGAGGATTTTTCCTGCCATACACTTAGAACGTGTAAAAGCACAGGAAATATCCTAGCATAACACAGTTACCTTTGGGACCTAGAATGGAATGGGGAGGAGGGAGAAACAAAGTAGACCTTTTTACTCCATACCCTTCTGTATGGTTTGAACCTTTTTTTTTTTTTCTTTTTTTTTTTTTTTTTTTTTGAGACGGAGTCTCTCTCTGTAGCCCAAGCTGGAGTGCAGTGGCGCGATCTAGGCTCACTGCAAGCTCCGCCTCCCGGGTTCACGCCATTCTCCTGCCTCAGCTTCCCGAGTAGCTGGGACTACAGGCGCTCACCACCATGCCTGGCTAATTTTTTTTTATTTTTAGTAGAGACAGGGTTTCACTGTGTTAGCCAGGAAGGTCTCTGTCTCCTGACCTCGTGATCCGCCCGCCTTGGCCTCCCAAAGTGCTGGGATTACAGGTGTGAGCCACCGCGCCCGGCCGGTTTGAACCTTTTATAACAAGAGTGAATCCAGACATTCTCTAGGTAATTTTATATGTAATTTTTAAGAAGAAACAGGACTTAAAAAGAAATGAATGAATTTCCACTAGGGGGTGGTAGAGAATCACAATCCCTATCACAGTCTGAAACTGAAGGGCAGAAGGAAATAGTCAAGTTCAGAATCACATGCTGCAGCCCATTTGTAGTTATAAATCTTTATTAACTAGTTCAGTGTGAAATCTAATTTCTTCGTAAATGCCAAATAATACATAGTATGCTCTTTTGAGCAACGCTTTTCAGATTATGTTCTCATACAGCGTTTTACAGCCCTTTACAGCTTTTCTGTAAACTGGCCTGAGATGTACCACTATATGAAATTGAATGATAGGGGTCCATTGTGGTTGGAAAAGATACACACAGTGATTGATTTAGGTAGATTAGAAGGTGGTTGGATAGGTAGATAGACATACACACACACATTCCTCTCTTTGAGTCCCCCTGGGTAAGCTGAGGGATGAGTACTCTGAAGGAAAAGCAGCCACGAGTGAGCTGCAGCATCCTTACTTAACCTCCAAACTTAACCTTTGCTGTAATATATATAGGAAAATGAATTCTGAACTGAATTCCCTCCTTAACCTCCAACATGCAGGCACTATGCCTCTGCCCAGTTTCTTTACCCATGCCTTTTATTATATCCCATCCCCAACTGAACCCTATCTCTGACCTGGTCAATAGGTGTGAGACCCAGATATTCTCACCCAGGAGATGCTGTTTCTTTTTTTCCAGAGGCCAGAGGCGGTTTCTAGTAAGCACCTTTATCATTTTGCAGGGGTTTGTTAAAATGGGTGGCCAGACTCACCTCACTGTGCCTAGGTGCCAATATGGCCTCTCAGTTTTATTCCCCTTGCAATCCAAAATCTGCCAGAACTGGACAGCAGTTTGATCCTTGAATTAGACCCTGGTTCATGATGCTTGCTTTGCACCCTCCCACCAGCTGTGCTTTATTTTTCTTTGATTCTAACTATTACAGAAAAGACAAGTCAGACTCCTTCATCGCTGGGCAAAGTTCCAAGTAAATTGCATTGGGAATCCTTGGCATTTTAACAATGGCTCACCGCTCCCCTTGTGACTAATGGGCAACACAGGCCTGTTTATGGATTCAAATCTCTGTCCCTGGATCACGTAATTTTAATTGTTCTGTTACTTCATTTCGATCCTCGTCACTACAGCATTTTTCTCACTGTTCATTTTCAAATTTGGTGTCCAACCTATTCCTGTGTGCCTTCCTTAATCCCTAGACCAAGCACTCTCTGGCTTGCTCATTCTCCCACTTGGGCATCCTGGATCCCAGCCAGTGGTGGCCCTAACCACTTGGCTCCTTCCTCAGTGCCCTTGGACCTCTTTGGCTCGCAACTGCTTCTGCTGAAGGTCTTCCTTTTGGCTCCATGATTTTCATGGCTGAGGCTGCTTCATTACTTCTGGAGGGAAATCTTGCTGCTTTCTGTAAACATTATTTTCTTAAGGCATATTTATGTGGAACTGTGCCATTTCTTTTCCTACTTATTCTGAATGAATTGAGCATTCCTGGACCAGATATTAGTGGAAGGTTCCTGTTGGATGGGGGTGGGATGATGAGGTGGTGAGAGAAGACATGGGCGATAGTAACCTCCTAGGTTTTACAACCGAAGGATCAATCCTTTATTACTACCAGTGAACTTTATCTTAAAATATGCTGCATCCATGTTTCTTCCAACTTTGAGAATCTAATCTATTTCAGCAAGGATCCTACCACAGTGTTATAGCTCCCTGCATTCCAGAGGGATCCTTTGTTATCTGCCACCTTGGAACTTCCAAAACAATGTCTGCTCCCCCAACATGTGGGCCTTCTTCTGCCTCCCCCAGCATCTGGGCCTCACTGTAGCTCAGGCCAACTGCCAACAGCTCCAACCTAGGCTGGCTTCTACTCTTAGAGAGAGAATATTTTCGGGCCCTTTCCGAGATCCTGCACAACTAGTTTCCTCCACACTTTGATCTGTTGCCACAGCAACATTTTGGCTCCCTGTGCCCAGTTCTGCTGCTCTCCGTTGCTTTAAGCACAAATGGCATGCAATTTGGGATGTAAGCATACTTTCTGTTTCCTAGTTTCACTAAAAATGAAGTTCTTGTGTGGTTTTCTTTTTCATTCTCTTTGCTGTACTATACAGAGAAATGAATTCTGAATTCCCTCCATATTCCTAGCAAAAACAAACTCCCTTGAACTGCAATTTTGACTTCCTTTTCAACCCAAAAATTAGTGAGATGTTTTTAAGTTTCCAAGTGGAGGCTTTCTTGTTAGTATTGTTTTGGTGAGGTTTTGTTTTCTTTTATTTTCATTTTGTTTTGTTTTTCTATGTATGTATTTTATACTGGTGAGAGAATATAGCCTGTGTAGTTTCTAATTTCTATTTACTTTGTGGTTTAATGTGTTATGTTTAGAAAAATATGTATTCACTATTTGTTGAGTACATAATTTTATAAATATTTGACAACTTAAGATCATTATTTGCTTTAGTAAAATATCTTACATTCATATTATTTTAAAATTTGATATGACAGTTTAGTTTAAAAGTATGCTAAAAGCTCTTAAATGTGTCAATTTATCCTTCCTAACAAACCACATTTTTTCCCCTAAATTTCAAAGACTTGTTTAGGATACAAAGGCTTATAACTTATGAGCAGTTGGTGAACTGTACATTTTAGCATAATAAAGTATCCTTCTTTGACACTGAAAAATTTCTTCATAATTTATTCTACTTTGTTCAATATTAGTATTTGCGATGGTTGGAATGTGTCCCCAAAAAAGCATATGTTGGAAATGTAATATTCAAAGCAATAGTGTTGGTAGCTGAGGCTTAATGATGACAGGTGTTTAGGTCACAATGACTCCATCCTCATAAATGAATTAGTGCCAATACAAAAAGGCTAAAAGCCTGTGAATTCAACCTGTTGCACTTGGGCACGCTCTTTTTCTCTTTTCCTCTCTCCACTCTCTCTTTTTATCCCTTTTGCCTCCCACCATAGTATGAGGCAGCCAGAAGATTTTTGCAAGATGCAGTCCTCTCATCCTTGGACTTCCTAGCCTCTAGGACTGTAATAAATCAATCTGTTCTTTGTAAATTATCCAGTTGGATATTCTGTTATAGCAGCACAAAATGGAGTAAGACGGTATTTCTATCCATAATTAATTTTTGTTAGCAGTTGCCTGAGTTTATCATTGTCCATTGGTTTATTTTAATCACTCGGTGTCATCTGATTTTAGGTGCTTTTTGTTTTTGTTTTTGTTTTGAGACAGGGTCTCACTCTGCCGCTCAGGCTGGAGTGCAGTGGTGCGACTATGGCTTACTGCAACCTAATCTTCCAGGCTCAAGCAATCCTTGCACCTGTTTCCTGAGTAGGTAGGACTACAGGCAAGCACAACCACGCCCGGCTAATTTTTTTATTTTTGTAGAGATAGGGTCTCGCTATGTTACCCAGGCTGATCTCAAACTCCTGGGCTCAAGTGATCCTCCCTCCTTGGCCTCCCAAAGTGCTGGGACTACAGGTATAAGCCATTGCCACCAGCACTTTTTGAACAGCAAATACACACACACACACACCATCTTCACTGAGAAGCAGAAAAATTTAGATTTAATGCAGTGATATAAATGGGCATTACAAATGCATATATATCTACCCTTAACATTAAAGTTTCCTGTGTTTGTCTTCCCTTAGAATCTCCCTTCCTCTCTGCAAAATGCAACTATTATTCCAAATTTGGAGTTGATCATTATCTTGCTTTCATCATAGTAAATATTGTCTTTGTTTCTGACAACAAATTAACATCATAATTAATATCACAATGTATTTTTCTGTTACTTGTTTTCTTCATTCAACATGATTTTAAGAATTATGCAAGTTTATTACTGTATCTGTATTCCACTGATCTTGATGTTGCATAGAATTCCACATTATTATGCCAAAATCTGTGCATCAGTTTACCTGCAAATGGACACTGAGTTGTTTCCAGCTTTTTCCAATTACAAAGAATGCTCTCGTGACTTTTCCTGCACATTGCTCTTGGTGCCTTATTCAATAATTTCCCTAAGGTGCATATATACTTAAGGGTAGAGCTGCTGTGCTTTAGGATATACTCAGCTTCAACTTTACAAAATGCTAATTTTTTTTCCAAGCAGATTATTTCAGTTGGAAGTCCACCATCAGAGTATGAGTTTCCCTCACCCTATATCCTCATCGATTTTTGATAATGTTAGACTTTTCAATGTTTGTCTATTTAGTGATTTTAAAATGTTATTTCAAGGACTGTTCTAATTCACAATTCTCTGATAACTATTGTGAGTGAGCTTCACTTTTGTATATTTATTGGTCATTTATATATCCCTTTTTGTGAACTGCCCTTTCACATCTTTTGATCATTTTCTTCTGGGGCTATTCTTAGATGTTCTGGATACTGATCCTATGTAAATTATGTGTGATATAAGTTTAGTTTGTGGCTTTTTTTTCTTTAGAGTATATTTTGATAAAAGTTTCTAATTTTAATGTGGTCAAATTTATTCATCTTTTCTTATACATTTTTGTTTTTAAAATGTGTATCTTTTTAATAAATATTTTTCTACTTTGAAGTCATACAAATATTTCTTTCACATTTTCATTTAAAAGTTTTACAGTTTTGCCTTCAATATGTTGGTCCTTAGTTCATCTGGAATTTATTACGATGTATATATATCCATTAATCCAGTGTCATAAATTCAAACTTACTGAATTATACGTCCTTTACCCACTGGTCTTTAATGACCATTCTTCATATACAAGGGGTCCTGATGCTCTTTCCATTCCATTCTATTGGCCCAGTTGTCTACTTCCCCTCTCACCAATAATAGCACATGGTCTTAAATCCAGTGGTGTATATATCTTCTCATGTAGTCAGAAAATTCCCCAACTTCCTCTTTATTTTCAATGGTATTTTAGCTCTTCTTGAACTTGTGTTCCTTCGTTTCATTTTAATATCATTGTGCCCAATTCTATAAAACATTTTGTTGAAATTTTTCTAGAAACAGCATGAAACTATAGATCACATTGGGGAAAACTGGCATTTTTATGATATTGATGCTTTCTAACCATGAATATATCTCTCCATCTGTGCAGTACTTCTTCAACTTCTTTTAATGATTTTAATTTTCCCCACTAAGATCTTGCATGCCTTTCCTTTTTGAGAATTTATTCCTGATTACAGTGAACTGTTCAACAATGCGAGGGCTAGCAGTGCTGACCACCTGTGCAGTAAAAAATCTGCACATAATTTTTGACTCCTCCAAAATTTTACTAATAGCCTACTGTTGATCAGAAGTCTTACCAATAACATAGTTATTTAACATATATTTTATATTTGTATGTGTTATATACTGTACTCTTACAATAAAGTAAGCCACAGAAAAGAAAATGTTGGCCAGGTGCGGTGGCCCATGGTTGTAATTCCAGCACTTTGGGAGGCTGAGGCGGGAGAACTGCTTGAGACAAGGAGTTTGAGACCAGCCTCAGCAACATAGCGAGACCCCATCTCTACAAAAAATTAAAAATTTAACCAGGTAGGGTGGCATGCACCTGTAGTCCCAGCTACTTGGGAGGCTGAGGTGGAGAATTGCTTGAGCCCAGGAGGTTGAAGTCACAGTGAGCCATGATCACACCACTGCACTCCAGCCTGGGCAACAGAGCAAGACCTTGTCTCAGAAAAGTAAAGAAAATGTTATTTAAAAAATCATAAAGAAGAAAAAATATACTTACTATTCATTAAGTGGAAGTGGAGCATCATAAAGGTCTTCATCCTCATGTCTTCATGGTGAATATGCTGAGGAGGAGGAAGGGGAGGAGGGGAGTTGGTCTTGCTGTCTCAAGGGTGGCAGAGGCAGAAGAAAATCATATATAAGTGGACCTGCACAGTTCAAGCCCATGTTGTTCAAAGGTCAACTGTACTGTAAATTTGTTATATTTTATTAACCAGTTAATCACATTTCCACTTCTTTGTTTTTATAGAAAATGCAATATTTTATATATTTAGCCAACTGTGCCAAACTCTTAATTCTTATGTTTTAGATTATTTTTCTCTGTAGACAATTGTATCATCTCTGAATAATGAAAGTTTGCTTTATTTCACTCCTATCCTTTCAACTTTTTTTTGATCTGTTGTTAAAAGCCCCCCCATACCATGCCTAAGTAATAAGTAATCTCAATATTATATTCCATCTCATATAATAAAATTTGACTTCCTAAAAGGGCTTGCTTCTTTTTAATTCAATGTCAATGCTGGAATTTCAGTTCTTAGCCTTGAAATCCTGGTGAAAAAATTCTCAGCAAGAAGGAAAAAAATGTTCTCGCCTTCTCCTGAAGCTGGGGAGAACAATAAATGAAAACTGTTGTCATAAATGGTTATTTCTAACAATTTTTCAAACCCCTAGACTTCAGATATTTTGGACAGGACCTGACAAAATGACCCCTAACCTGTAAAACATCTATACTTTTGACCACTCATCTTTCTTAATAATTTAGTTCTCTGGTGATAATGTTTGAGTTTAAAATCTCAAGCTTCAAAAGATAACGTGATTTGTGAATTTTCTATCAAATCAGAAAAGAATCACTGGCATTGCTGTCTTCCCATACATGCATAGGATAAAATAGCTCTACTGGACATTTTATTAATCAAAGAGCCTGAGAGACGGCTGAATGGCTGAACCAAGCAGAGAGAGTCGGGGGAGGGTAATTCCTTGCTGGGCCTTAAAAGGAGCCCACGAGATGGGAAAAAAAAAAAAAAAGGCCAAATAAGATGAACCTCTATTTAGGCCCCAGTGAGAGCCTGCTTGACTCTGATCTTTCTTTAGCTGGCTCAACGTTTTGTTCTTAATTATTTTTACTCAAAATCAAGAACTATTAGAAAATAAGAACAATTATGGAGTTTTGTTGTTCATTTCCACCTCTCTACATATATACATGGAATATATATCTCCTCCCAGTACACATGAACACATGCAAAAACATATTTAACTGAAACAAAAGTTTCATGAAACTATAGTTACTCTCATTACCTGTGATGCAGGCAAGTATTTTCAATTCTATTTTATTCTATTTCATTCTACTTGGAAAAAAAAAAGTCTTTTGATCTCAACATAAATGGATTCTGACCTGCAGTTTCAAGCCAATACGTTACAGTAAGAGTAAATGTAGGGTTTCTCCCAGTTTTATCTGGCAGTCCCAAAGCCAGGATCAGAGTAACCGATGGAGCATCATCTGTACGGTCCACATCTGAGGAGGAGGTCTGGGAAAAGATCCAACATATAAGACGGGCGAGGAGGCTCAGGCCTGTAATCCCAGCACTTTAGGAGGCAGAGGCGGGAGGATAACTTGAGGTCAACAGTTCGAGACAAGCTATGCAAACATGGTGAAACCCTGTCTCTACTAAAAATACAGAAATTATCCAGGTGTGGTGGTGCGCACCTGTAGATCCAGCTCCTCGGGAGGCCGAGGCACGAAAACCGCTTGAAACCGGGAGGCGGAGGTTGCAGTGAGCCGAGATCGCACGACTGCACTCGAGCCTGGGCGACAGAGGGAGACCCCGTCTCAAATAAAAAAATAGTAATAATAATAAAAAAATGTATCCCTAGTCTGGCTTTCAGGGTCTTAGATGAGGTTCAGAAGTGGACTTACGAGCCTTAGGAGCGCAGTCAGTGCTGTGGATTCCCACATCCATGGGACCTGCGATTTCGGGTTATTCTGTTCAGGGACAGATGATGTCCCTCATTTCTACCTACCATTGGACTGGTCAAGATTCTTATTTATCAAGTCAGTTGGAGTGGGCTTAAGTAAGTTCTCAGCCAAGGCTGTAGGGTCTGGAGGACCAGATATCCCGACCAAAAGCCCCCCCCCTCCCACTTCTTTCACACGCCTGCCGCAGAGGTGCACGGGTGGGAGTGGGGAACTGAGGCAAGAAGCAGAGGAGGCGGGACCGAGAGAAGACAAACTACCCTAGAGGAAAAGCTCGAGCTGTTACCCCTCCCCACTTTTTCCGCCTTCCCTCTAACCCCTCTTTCCTTTCTTGCCCCTCTCCAGCTTTTCTGGTCCAAACCTCTTCTGCGCCTAACACTGGCACCTCCTTTTCTTCCGGCTGATGAATAATTGTTGGCACAGCAGCCTCCCTGGGGCACTGAGGGGCGAGAAGGTTAGAAGGAGCCAGGGCTAGAGTCCTGGAAGGTGGCAGTCAGGTCGCAGGGCCACAGCAGACATTCTAGGACTCTCTCTTTCGGGTGTTTCTCCAGCGCCACGCAGGAGAAGACGGAGCCTGGGGGCTGCGACTGGAGGAGCGGGAAGCGCAGTATCGGGATCACGGCCCTGGGACCAGGAACAACGCAGACTCTCCAGAGCCAATTCCTACTTCAGCCAGCGCAAGGGCGCGACGACCTGGCGCGGAGCATCTCAGGCCGCCGCGGGGATCCCCCTAAGGGACTCGGAGGCGTTTGCCTACCTTAGAAGTGGCAGAGAATAACCCGGCAGGGAGTTAAGCAGGCTCGGCCCGCGGCGTTCGTCCCGCCTCCACGGAGCCGAGCCCTGATTGACGTTCAGCCAGGCCAATCATAGCCTCAGCGTCTGAGGCGCGCGGAGCTGGAGCGCCCAGGCACGTCCGCGGTTCCCAAGGATGCAAACTCTCTGGCGCGGCAGCCGGGGCTGCAGTACGCCTCAGGGGGTCCTCCCTGTCTGCGCCTCCCGCCGCCGGCCCTGAAAGGTCTGCACCTGAGGCTGGATACTTGGACAGAGGCAGACACTGCGGCTCAAAACCCCAAGGGCGGGGTGCCTATTGTACAGAATCCGGGAACGCCTGCCTGGAAGAGTTCCGGCGGCTCCCCGAACACTTGGAGAAAGCGCTTGGATGCAGTTGCTGGGTGAGATTTGGGACGGTGATTGTGTTTTCCAGAAGGCGCTCGGGCGGGGTGGTGAAGGAGGGATACAGACCTCTAGATTCCTCTCTCGTTGGCGTGAGGTGGGGGACAGCAGTGAGAGTAGTTCTCATCCCTGACCCTCCTCCGGGCCGGCCGACGGAGGAGAGAGAAGGGGAGGAAGAAGGGTCTGCCCAGGCCTTCAGACACTTTACTTTGTGGGAGATGTATGTATTCTGAGTGTCCCTGCTCTGGAGGGATTGTTAAAGAATCCAGGTTCTTGGGGAGGGTCTTAGGAGAACTCTCCAGGTGATATTCTTATTCTTCCTATTTTCACCGTGTTTTTTGGGTACAACTTGTTCCCTTTAACCCGAGGTGGCCTTGGTGTCCGGCAGCTGTTTTCTCTGCCAGTCACCACCCTCTGGGCCTCACGTCTTCATCCCTCAAGTCCGCTGCCTCTGAGCTGCTACGTACATCTGGTCTGTTTCTACCTCTGCTGGACCAGAAGTTTGCATTAACGCCCCCACCCCATCCTGCAAGACCAGCGCTTCCAACCAAGCGCGCTCTCCTCTGAACCTAGAACCTGCTTGGAAATCTGAGTATTTCCTCTATGCCCAGGTGAAGATTGATGTCTGGGTTTCACATCTCCCGATTCTGTTGTGTACTATGTCGTTTCTCAGCTTGGTTATATGTGCCTCCATTGAGTGGACCGTATCTCCAGAATTTCTCCTAACCCTCCCTGTATACTCCCCGGCAATCTTCTTCCTTTTTTTTCTCCAAATGCCCCTCCCCCTACCAGAAATAACTTTACCCCTGTGCCACTTCTTCTGGCATGGAGCACTAAGGAGCCGTACCACACCCGGTGCCAGAGGTGGAAGAGAAATGAGGTTTGAAATGTGGGGAACAAGAAACTAATCTGTGGGAAATTCTTCCACTCCTCAGAAGTGTAAAGATGTGTTGGAGACTCTCATAAATATATATTCAGTAATGCAGCATATGCTATGATGACTATGTATTCATTTTTTATGGGAATCAAGAATTCAGAATGATCAAAAATGCCTGTGTGTAGAAGACATGAATCTATAGGAATATCACACATAGTGAGCACAACGGTGAGTGAAATCCCATGTTTCATGCTTCCCAGCAGTCCCAAAGGGAGCCTCCAAATGTGTACAAGATTCAGACTCCATGTAACCTGCATCTGTCTATGCACTAGCTATGTGAGCTGTTACCACAATCTTGATGAGGTTACTCCGGAAGTCTGGGATCTTGATTTTTGCCTGTCACTGATCACCTGGCTACAGGAAAGGAGACCTAAATCCAGAACTTAAATTTATGAACACCAGGTCTGTGGGCACTAGACCTTAGAAGTAGGTGGCTATTGGCTGGTCCCTTCTGGAGTGAGGCAGACATACCTATGCCATATGCAACATGAAAGGTTGCCTGAGCCCCTCAGCCTGAGGTAGAGTAAGGAGGGAGAGGTGGATAGGGACTTTCTTTTCAGACCAGGGAAATCAGAAGCCATCAGATGCCTTCAGTAGAGAATCCAACACAAAGAAGATCATAAGTCGTCTCCTCTCCACTTCTTTATAGTCATCATGGACATAATTGCTAGCCTACCTTTCCTTGGTACTCTGGTTAGTAGAGTGAAGTTGAGATAATATAGGTGAAAAAACTGAGCAGAAAGGGAGTGAGGATACGGGGCCTCTACAGTTTGCCTCATGGGTTTCCCACTCTAAATAGATGAGGTACACAACATTCTGGCAGTGTCACACTAGGGCCAGAGTTGGTAGCTCATAGATGTATGACAGAGGATGGAAGGAGTATGCCTCTCAGGCAGGCAAGTTTAGCCTGGTAGACAGAGGATGTGGCTTAAAAGTTACTGCCTACAAGACCAGTGCATGCAAGTGAGTCCCTGCTGCTGCTTGGGTCAGAGGAGACGAGGCAGAAGGCTGATGAAAACTCACCAACTGGTGGTCAGTCTGAGAAGCAGTCAAGATCGAGAACTGCAAAATTAACAGCACAAGTTTTTCAGGAGTCTCAGTGCCCAATGTGAGGTCTACCAGGGATGCCCAGCCACTATGGTCTGAGCCCCAGGAGCCTGGTCTGGATGTGGATGCCCTCTGCTTATTCATAGAGACCTGGGAAGCTGAGCCAGGAACCTGGATAGTGACCAGAAACACACCCAGACATCTGAGAAATGCTTCCCTTATATCCAAGAGATCCCTGTGTGTAGAACACATGAATCTATTGGAATATCACACACAGTGAGCAAAGTCTTACACTTACTAAACTCTCTCCGTAGATTTACTACATTTTTCATCAGTTATTTAATGGAGGGAAACCAGGTCCCAGACTCGATTAAAAAAAAAAAAAAAACTCTTTAGGTGAGCGTGTATGCATGTGTAAATTGTAGTATACAGTGGTATGATTGGATAGTCAAAGGAATATCTAAGCCAAGTGTACCTAAGGAGTAAATTTGGAGTCAGAGGAAGTTGGTCATTGTAGGAAAGTAACTGCTGCAAGAAAGATTTCTTGGAATGTAATTATCTAATGTGAGGCATTTATGCCTCTTTTCCTCCATGTTTCTAGTTTCTGCCTTGGGTTTGGCATTTATTTATCCTGCTTCAAGTATAAGACTAATGGTTTATTCGAGGGCCCACAACTTCTACTTCTGTCCTGGCTTCACACAGATCATTTTCTCTTCTCAAGTCATTGTATTTTCACTGGTAGTGAAAGAAGGTAATATCTTCATCTTCAAATAAATTAGGGGGAGGGGTTCAAATTATGAGGGAAAAGAAAAATTGGTGGTGCTGCTGTGGGGAAGAGTTGCTGAAAATTAAAGGACACCTGCTGAGCTGAAGAGAGCTTTGGGGTTTGGTAATTTGGGGTGTGAGGTGGGTCTTCAAGAATGCCATGGGCTTCAAGACTACTGTGTCTCTCCCTTAGTATTTTCCTCCTCAGTTTGAGAGGACTTCCTGGTAAAGGACTGAAAGAAATGTCCACTCCATCATGTCTCTGCTGACACCTAGCCTCTCTTCTCCAGTTATAAGTCCGTTTTCCTATTGGGGTAACACAAGAAGGAGGAAGAATAGCTCAGGTCTTCCCTTCACATCTCTCCTACAAGGATTGTGAAATGTCATATGCCTCTTCCCATAGACTTAGATAGACCTAAAATTGTCAACATGTGTCCAGATAGTTGCAAAAAAATATGATTTCCAACATATTCTCCATATTAACACTTTACAGTAAAACTGTTAGTCACTCATATGTTCAATTCAATCTAAATATCATAATGTTTTGACACCCATTATCATTAATTTTAAAAATATATAAACAACCTCTTTCTTAATGGTTGGAAATTTTACATTGCTCTTTTTTTTCCCCCTTTGAATCCATATTTTTATTCTCCCCCTCCCTGCAGAATTTTTCTTTTTTTTTTTTTTTTTTTTTTTTTTTTTGAGTTCTCAACCCTGGTTGCATCCCAATATAATTTTTTTTTTTTGTTCTTGGAAATCTTTTATTGAGCCACCTATTATGCTTCTTTGCAACAAAATATGTTCTTACACTGCATTTTTAATTTCTTGTTCCAAGTGTTTAAAAAGTTATATGGGCTGGGTGCAGTGGCCCACACCTGTAATCCCAGCACTTTGTGAGGCGGAAGCAGGAGGATTACTTGAGCCCAGGAGTTCAAGACCAGCCTAGGCAACATAGGGAAACCTCATCTCTACAAAAAAAAAAAAATATATGCTGGACATGGTGGCTCCTGCCTGTAGTGTCAGCTACTTGGGAGGCTGAGGTAGGAGGATCACTTGAGCCCAGGAGGTTGAGGCTGCAGTGAGCCATGATCATGCCACTGCATGCACTCTAGCCTGGATGACAGAGTGAGATGCTGTCTCAAAAAAAAAGGTGTATGGATTAAGATAGGATTACCAACTGTTAGAGATCAAAATAATGTCAATACAGATTGGATATGCTTTATTTGAAATGCTTGGGACCAAAAGTGTTTTGGATTTCAGATTATCTTGGATTTTAAAATATTTGTATGTATATAATGAGATACCTTGGGGCCGGGACCCAAGTCTAAACATGAAATTCACTTATGTTTCTTGTATACATTATGCACATAGCCTGAAGGTAATTTTATACAATATTAAAATAATTTTGTATGTGAAACAAAGTCGTGTTAAGTACAGTACTTACGTGTGGCATCATATTGGTGCTCAAAAAGTTTCAGATTTTGGAGCATTTCAGGTTTTCTGATGAGGGATGCTCAATCTGTAATACACATTTTGGTAAATAAAAGTATAAGTTTGTAAAGGTAAAATTTAACTGGAAATGCATCTCTTAATGAGATACATAGGGACTTTATTTTCCCAATTTCATGTTGACAAATGTTACTTATTGTTAATGAATCTGGGCTGTATATTATTTCAATTTAAAAAAATTTAACATGAAAGAACTAAGGAATCTTGATCATATAAATGAATGAGAAAATAAAGACTTGTTGAGGCAACGACTCCATTTTAAAAATTTCTTCTTAGTCATATGCAAGACTCACGTAATGGGCTATTATTAAATAATATTTTTAATAATCTGTCAGCTGACAACTCAGGTATAAGGTTCTTCTTCAATTTTGTTGAAAGCAAAGAATTAGA